CCAAGGGTTAAGAGGGGGGGCCAAGATGAGCCTCACCTGAGGAAATAAGTTAGCCCACTCAGGGTAATGAAAAGGGTCCAGGCCAAAGCCCTCAAGGTACACTTTTACAACCTGGAAAAAAAGATGATCCGGGAACCCCCTCTGGGGGCACCTCCAGCAATCCCCAGTGGCTGATAGCCCTTCATTTCCGAGAGGCAGCCATCCCCTCTGTGCACTCAAGCTTGCAGTTTTCCCTCCCCCTCCCCCCTACAACCTGCACTTTAAGGCTTTAAAAAGGAGGCACTCCCTGCCAGAGGCAGGAAGCTGCTCAGGTCTCACCCCAGGCACTCTCACCCAAGCTCTCATAAATCGAACTTCTGCTCATCCTCACACTTTTGCCTCTGGTAGATTGAGCACCTGCACACTGACCGTACTACCTCGCTGCCCCACTACCAACTGTGCTATATATTCACTATGGGCTGGACACAGTTCTAAGAGTTCCCATGGACTGACTCTCAAGTCTCATGTCAACTGTACGAGCTGTTACTCTAATCACCCACACTCTACAGACAGGAAGAATGGAGATACAGAGAGGCCGAGAACCTTGTCCAAGGTCACACGTGAGTGGGGGAGTTGGACTGGATCTCAGCAGTTTGGATCCCCCTGTTGTAAGTGCCATTGCTGCACTGTGCAGGGGATTTGCAATGGAGAGGCCACTCCCAGTCAAGGTGGCCAAGAACAGTCGATAGGGTGATAATGAGATCCCTTTTCCTGCCCACCCACAGCACGCTGCCCACATGAGTGAAGACCGGCCTGCTGGCGCTTCCATGCATCCCACAGCTAGGACCTCCCTAAATCTCTCCAGGCTCACAAAACTCCAGGTTGGTTTTTGTTTGATTCTGTTTTTCTTTACTCTATGTATAGTCTTTTCATTATCTTTTGCCTCCTTTATGATGAAATTAGTATGTGAAAGGCAATTAAAACACATTGTATTAATTGTTCTGCCTTATCTCCTTGAAGTTCTTGTGGTGTGTGATTTGGTCTTTACACTGCTTTCACACACACACACACACACACACACACACACACATACATGTGTGTATGTGTCTACACCCACACACCCAACCTCTATCACCTTGGATGATCTTTGAGGTTGCAACACTTTCTTGATCTGGAGTTGCTTGGTTGCTGCTCCTTTCACTCTGATTAATGGCAGTGGGGAGAACCAGACACTTGATTTGCTCATGGACTGGATTGTAAGATGAGGGTGTGGTGACGAGGAAAAATGGAGTCAGGGCCAGCAGGTGACGTAGTAGTTGAGGTGCTGGACTCCCACATAGCTGACCACAGTTTGAGTTCTGGATCTGGCGGCTTGCTGTCTCGCTGTCTCTCTCTTTCTCTGTTTCTGTTGCTCTCTAGCAAAATTAAAACAAAATAATAATGATAAAATTATTCTTTTTTTTTTTTTTTTGAGAGGTTTTTGCTATAGGACATGTGTGCTCACCAGAAAGAGAAAGAGATACAGAAAGCAAGAAATCACCCCCAGGGGGGATGGCCATGCCGCAATCCCTTCTCCATTCTTTCAGGATCATGGGCATGCACGCACATGCACCGTGTGAGTTTAAGCCACTAGGTCCAGGACTCGAACTGTGGTCGACTCCATGGGAGTCCAGCGACATAGCCATTATGCCAACTGCCGGTCCCAGTCATTCTTTTTTTAAATTAAATAATTATTTTATTTATTTATTTTTTAAAAAGTGGAATCAAGGATGACTCCTTGCTGTTTACCTTTGTGACTGGGTAGATGTTAGCACAGAAGACTGGGTTGGGGATGGTGGTGGTTAGGAATCAAGGTTGGGTTGGAACTGGAAAACTCTGGGTAACTGCTCCTGTCTATAGCCTTAAACTCCCCAGAAGGCTTGCACTACATAACAGACTACTGCCAACTGAATGTTTGGGTTCCCACCAAACGCCTATGTTGAAACCATTATCCCAGTGTGATGGTATCTGGAGGCGGGGCTGTTGGAGGTAACTGGGTCATGAGAGTGGAGTCTTCATGAATGGTGTTAATGTTTGTATAAGAGGTCAGAGAGCTAGTTAGCCCTCTTCTGACATGTCAGGACATGACAGGAAGGCCAGAGAGTAGGCTCTGACCAGACAGCGAATCTGCCAGAGTCTTGATTTTCGAGGACCCAGCCTCTAGAACTTGAGAAACAAATTTCTGTTGTTTAAGCCACCAAGTTTGTGGCACTTTGCAACTTAAAGTAAGACATAGTTCCTCTCAAGCCAAAGTGAGATTCTTGTGCAGGAGGCAGATGGCCCATTTCATATACCAAGAGGGCATGGCAATTCTGGTCCTACACTCTGATTCTGGGTCTTGGGGGTATTTCTCAAAGCATTTTACATCATTAATTGGCCATCTGTCATCCAGACACCAAAGTCAGACAAAGCACATGAGCTGGAACCATCTGTGGATATGTAGAGTATACCCATAAATTCCTTAGTCCTCTAAAAATAGCTCTTCATAACAATGATAAACTTCCATCTCATGAGGCACCATTGCATTGGGCTGTTAGAAAAGTCATGACGCATTTTTGCATAGAAAAAATAGATCTTGACTTTTCCAGCAACCCAATAATTTTCCAGAAGCTCAGCCAGTGGAGACTAAGTCACCTTGACCCTTCAACAGAACACAGTCCTTTAGAATAGATACTATATTCAAGGCTGACAGGGGAACATGTATAGTCTTTATTTTATGCAGTTGGGCCTTTCCTATGTTAGGAGCTGACTTTGTCCCTTGTATTTATAAAGCAATGAATTTAGCTTCCCTTTACCAAATTGTAACCGCTTTATGATTCTATCTTGCTGCTATCACACTTAGGCCCCTGTTATAGACTGTTTGTCTCCTCTACCTCTGTAAATTCATATGTTGCAATCCTTACCCCCAACATGACAGTATAAAGAAGTGAGGACTTTGGTGGGTGATTAGTTCATGTGAGCAAAGTCCTCATGAATGGTACTAGACTCCTTATAAAGAGACTCTGGAGATTGTCTGGCCCCTTCTGCCATGTGGGAATACAGTGAGAAGATGGCTATGACTAGAAGTGGGTCCTCAACAGACACTGGCTATGGTGGCATCCAGATCTCAAGACTTCCCAGCCTCCAGACACGTAAGAAACCAATGTGCATGTTTCAAAAGCTGCTGCTGTTACAGCAGCCCAAACACACTAAGACAGCTCCCTGGCTGGTATTATGGATGCTTCTAAACTACATAGCTGTACATTTTGAATTTCTAGGCTTATTCCCACAGAAAGCTGGTCACATCCACTGCAGATAGACTAACGGCCTCTCAGAGAAGAATATTATTTCTTACTCTGTTGTGAGAACTTACAGTAATACTTGTTATAATAGGAATCTGTTGGAGTTGTGAACTTGAGGTATATTTGTGGGGAAGTCTCTTACTAAGGTCTACTCCAGAGTGTGCTGTAGTATTCTTTTAAGTTTTCCCAGGCTTGTCCCACCTACAGGGTAAAGGGATAATCCATCCCAGCCTCATAGCCTTCACACAAGCCAACACGTTTTCTGCTTGATGTCCAAACAAAACAAGATCTGTTGCTAACTTCTGTCATTGTCTTGGTCTCCGTGCTTTTCTCTTGTCTTGGCTATTCTATTCCTGCATCTTACAATATTTTCCCTTGGGTTCATTTCTCATCCTTAGTCCTGAGACCCCAGATTTTATGGTTTCAATCCTTTGTTTTCTTCCTCTTCTGGGTCTTCTCATTCCTGTCCTTACTGGCCCCTCTCCTACCCCCTGAACCCTTAGGCCTCTGCCACCCTCTGCCAACTGCTGCTCCCAGGCTTCTTCCATCTACAATTTATATAGGAAGTTCTGCCTACATCACAGTTTTGCTGAGGGCTCTGGAAGGATGTGAGCAAACATTAAAAACCAAAGGTTCCCTGGGTTCATTTTTTCTTTAAACAAACATTGATCAAGGTCAGTGTGCGTGGCAGGCACTGCAGATGGAAGGTTAAACACTTCCTACCTTCAAGGAGTTCACAGTTATTAGGGGAATTCTAACATTTGTTTATACTATGGCTGGGCTTTTTCAGACATTAAGAAACTCAGAAATACTCTAATGTATCCCTTTTCCTTAGTTCAATATGCAAAGTATGGCAGTGGACGCCATCACCACCCAGACTAAAGGCACCATGGACTCTGACACTGTACTCCTGAAATCTGACTTTTCTACGATCACTATTGGACACTTGCTTCCCATGGCGTTGGACAACGTTGTCCACTTCCTCACCATTTTTCTCTCTCTTGCTCTGCAGAACACTTCGGATGCTCTTTGGGGGTCCATTTTCTTTGCTTGCACCTATGACATCGGGTGTGTCTTGAGTTTCATCTTCTCTGCACACCTCCCAGGGCAGGGGGAACTCTTGGCGGGATGCCCAACCGCTCTGACCTGAAGCCCTCCTTCCTACCCTCTACTTGGCTGAAGCCTGGGTCAGCAGCTCTTCCTAACCCGCGTCTGGGTGGGCCTAGCTGGGCAGGCCCCTGGGGTCCTGTGTAAGTACAGGGACCTTGCCATTTCTGGCCGCAGCACGCGCACTGAGCGCAGGGACCACGCCTGGGCTGCCCATCCCTGTGCCCCCAGTGCCAGCTCTGCAACTAGCTCTGAGATGCCTGATAAACCAGCGCTGAGCACACGAAAGAAGAGTAATAGGAGAAGGCCTATGCGGCTACCCAGGGGATCCGGGCGGAGAGCAGCTCGCCGGACCGAGCGCAGCCGGGAGGGCCCGCGGCGGCGCATCAGACAAGAGCCCACGGTGGGAGAGGGCCCGAGCGGGCGGCGCAGGGAGGCGTCTCCGAGGGCGCCCGGCCCGGACCTGTCGGATCCACTGACTAGCCGGAGCCCGGCGAGGCCAGAAAAGCCACTGCGGCCCCAAGCCCGGCCCCGTCGCCCCCGCCTCGGCCCCTACCCGGCCACCGTTGCTCTCTAGAACGCCGCGCCCATGACCCGGAAGAACATTCTCCTTAGCAACTGCGGGACCGCGGCGGCGCCAGCCTCCCGGGAGCAGCGGTGAGGCCCTCTCCCACCCCCAGTCCGCCCGTCCCAACCGGGCAGACCCC